AAAAAAAAAAAAAGTAAGAGAGAAAAAGAAAAACAAACATTCATCAAATAATAATAATAGCAGTATGCAATATCAGCAAATATTTCATTATGTTTCTTTTTTTCAAAAATTTTTTTGCCTTTTTTTCTGTTTTGAATTTAATAAATTAGGAATTTGAGTTAAAATTAAATTGCAATTAATATATTTAAGCATTAAAAATTTTTTGTAAATTTTTTGAAATGAAAATTCTTTTCTTTTTTTTCCATTTTATCAACCATTTTTCATTCTTTTTATCATTTGTTTATTTATTTACTTATTGCTGTTTCTATTACTGATAACATATTCAAAATATTCAATGTTCTTTTTGTTTATTTTCTTTTGTTTGACTTACGTCAAATACGTAAGGAGTATATTACGTGTACAAAAACTATATAGTCGCATATACAGTAAGAAGATATTTCATTTTTATTTAAAAATGAAAAAAACGAAAAAGATCGATAATATATATGAATTGAAGAATTTTTCGAGAATTTCCATTAAAAACATAATAAAACAATGGAAATTTTGATTCGGTAAATATCAATAAATAATAATTATTTTGCAGAAAATAAAAAATTCTTTTTTTTAAATATAATATCGAAAAAATGAATAAAACATATGTCTTGATTAAGTACATCATTTCTATAATGTGTTTTTCATCTATTAATGATAAATGCTTACTCATCGTTTATTCTATCATTTATCATATACATATGATGAATATTTTATTTGATATATGCTCTCATATAAAATATGGGACTAAATTAATATTGTACACATATATTAATTATTAATTTAAGCAAATATATAAATGATAAGTTTTAAAATATAACCTGAAAAGGTTTTTATTTTTTATTTTCATTTTTTCTTATTTTCATTTAGCTAAAACAATTTTCCGCTATTCGAATTTTTTATTAAGTAGAACAAAATTAAATTAACCTTTAACCTTGTTTCTTTATTTTTTTTCAATATAGGTTCGTTTATTTTTTATATTATTCATATAATATAGTTATCCCATATGTATTATTTTTTTTGCAGTTAAATTTGTAAATTATA